CATTATGGACAGAGTTGTGGACATATACCATTCATACATTTTGTGCTTATCAGCTTTTAGAGACACTGTAAATGTTTAATTTTCTGGGTTATTTTTAAATTAAACTCTGTACAATGGGTTGTTATTGGTCTGGGCGGTCCTCCCATTTTAGCATTTGGTGGTATTTAATTTTGAGGATTATGCCGTCCAGGCCAAGCAGATGACCATTTCTGAGGGTAAAGAATAGTGATTGCCATAGAGCACCATACTGGCTTTAAAGATTTTGGATGTAATTTTTTTTAATGCTTTGTAATCATTTTCTGTACATTTTGTATGCTACGTAGCCATGTTTTTGTCATTGATCTTTAATTTTGTAGTGATTTTTATGCCCTTAAGGATAGTATGTTGCATTATAGCATTCTTCCCATTTTGTACATTTTGAGGTTAAAGACCTCTCTCAGAGGGGAGGTATGTAGCGACCCTGGGTTGGCTAGTCATATTTTACTCTTACATAAATTGCCAACCTGGCACCCGGTGTCGCTACTTCCCTTCCGCTCGGAGCGCGAATAGTACCGCTGCAAGGTCTTAGGTATAATATAGTTGCTTGAGCTATATAGCTTTTGTTCAGAACAATTGTTTTGCAAGGGTATTTTGGGCATAGCACATTTCTGCTGTAATTTTATGTAAGGGTTGATCTCGCGAGAGACAGCGAGAAGAGAGTTGGCGCCATACTTTTTCACTCACGAGGCAGTTTTGATTTAAATTGGTGATTTGGATTACTTTTGACACTTGATCAGGCCTGATCGATCGTTATGGCAGCCAGAGGGATGAGAAGAGTCGAGTGGCTGCAAAACTGAGGTTGTATTTTTATATTTGAACGCCACTGCAGTGCTGAGCATACTTGTAGAAATATTGTTAATATTTTCAGATTTTATTTTGTCTTTGACTTCGAGTCAACTGAGTGTGTATTTGATTTGGTTATTTGGAACAGTTGATCTATTGTGATTGATTTTCTTTGAGAGAATTATGTAATTTTTGGCTGGAAGATCTGGCCTTGTTTTTGATATGCTCAGCGCGCAGGTGAGATTTTTCACAGCGCCACCTTTTGACAATCGCTTACTTAAAGCTTGATGTTGTTTGAGGGCTGAAATATAGTTGCCATCTTAGTTAAGACCTTTGTAATTTATTCGTAATTTGTCAGGTTCGACTAAAGTCAGATTTTGCTTTTAGAGCCATGTATTCATGTAATTTGCTTTGATTTGTATTTGATAAAACTGATGTAAAACCAAATCTCATTATTTATTTACAATTAAACTTTAAAACTTTACTTGATTTGTTGTGTTGATTGTTTGTAGTCATTGATTGATGGTTTAGATGAAACAACAGTGAAATACTCTTATATTTAAAAAGCCTGCCATATTCTGATCATTTCTTCATTCTGTTCCAAATCATTCTTGTCCAATTAGTGTTCTCAACTTTTATCTTTATTTAAAGGTGGCAGCACCTTACATAGAGTCCAGTAGTCAATCTTAACATTCAGCTCAAATTCGATTCACTACGTTGCCATGGCCGTTCAGCTTACCACGCTACCATTTGTTTGCTCGTTCGGTCCTGTTTGTTTGTTTGTTTGTACGGGTTGCTTTGTTGTAGTATTGGTTTATTGATTGATTGGGCAGCCCGTACGTGGCAGTTTCGAAATTAAGACCGGAGCTGTTACATAATTAATAGAAAATTTACATTGTAAAATTTCACAATTACATACAATCCAACCTATTCCATGACATATGCTGAATAAAAAGCTATGGTGGAGGGAAAAAACAACCCCATTACAAGCCAAGGAATAAAAACATATTACCATCCTATTGTGTCAACCAGAGACAAACATCAGTTGTGGTTTAACCATCCAAAATCCTAGCCAAAATTGAATCCCGGATGGAGACTGCATGATGTCTTAGGTATCATAGTTTTGGTGAAAACCATATCTATAATGCGCTAAGAAGCAGGCAGGTATGATGAACAAAGTTACAACAGTGAAAGCCCCAATGTAGGTCTTCAAGGGCGTTACTGAAGTCAGACCAACTGAACAACAGAGCACCCCTCTACAATGCAGTAATGTTCCTGACATCTAACCAGTGTCCTTCTAGGGTCCAACTGCTAAGTACCAAAGTAATACTTACAAATTATTGGTTGCAGACAGTTCCAGCCAGAACCATTGGACCAAGTTTGTGAAGTTCCTTCTCCATCACTGTGACATCCCGCAAATAATAGTTGGTGAACGTATTGTGGGAAGCCCAGGAGCAAGTCTTCAACAGTGACGTGATGGATAAATTAGCTTGTAACGCTAGTGAGGAAGATATGGCTCTAATTTCATGTGGCCTTATCTTCCCTAAATGTTTATTTTCTTGAGAAGCATTTTTGTATGCACCAGAAATAAGTTGTTTCATCCAAGAAGACAATGTGTTAGGATGAATGTCTGTATTACACCCTTTCTTGTAAGGGATAAACAGTCTATTCCGAGGTCCTCTAACAGAGACTGTAGTTTGTAAATAATAACGTAACGCTCTGATCGGGCATTTGACATTGGAGAGACATATACTGGCAGCTTGTGATTGTAGCAAGTTGCCATCATGTCCAACTGAGGGGTCTCCCAGATTCGAAACATCTGTTTGGTTACCGAGGGATGAATCGACCACTCTGTTGACACAATCTGATCTCCCCGACTTAGAAGATCGGCTCGGCGATTCAAACGGCCTGGAATGTGGCGTGCTCGAAGAAGTACTTGGAACTGATTGGCCCACAGTAGTATCTCTCGTGTCAGCTGGGTTAACTCTACCGAGTGTGTACCCCCTTGTTTGTTCAGGTAGGCAGTGCTTGTCGTGTTGTCTGAACAAATGAGAACCATCTTGCCTTGTACTTGTTTCTGGAAATGAAACAGTGCTTTCTGAACTGCTTTTAATTCCAACCAATTTATGTGGAATTGGGATTCCAACTGGGACCAGTTGCCAGAGCATTCCTCCAATTCCAGATGTGCTCCCCACATCTGAGTCGATGCATCTGTAAAGATGGTCGCTTGTGGTATAAATGGCTGTAAGGTCACTCCTCTATCTAGATGGCTCCGTGTGTTCCACCAGAGAAGGTCTTCCCTTGCAGGAGAATCTACCTTGATTAAGGTTAGTTTCGAGTCCCTGACCTGTGACCACTGTTGATACAGACATCGTTGTAGGTTCCTCAAATGTAACCTGCCTAATGGTATTTGTTTCTCTGCTGAAGTTAACAAACCCAGGAGAGACATCCAAGATGCTGCTGGGGCTTGTTGTTCTGTTAGAAAAATCCTGGTTAAGGATAGGATTTTGTCTATTCATCCTTGAGGTGGATAGCACATCCCTTCCTTTAGATTCCAATGTACTCCTACATAGTCGAACGTTTGCATAGGAAGTAGTTGGGATTTTTTGTAATTGATCAGAAATCCCAGATATTATGTGATCTTGATCACGATTTGTAGATGTTTGGTCACTATCTCTGGAGTAGGACCCCGAATTACCCAATCGTCTAAATAGCGATGAATGTGAATCCCCAGTTTGTGAAGGAAACTTGCCAGTGGTTCTTAGATCTTTGTGAACACCATCGGAACTGTTGAGAGTCCGAAACAAAGAACTCGAAACTACAAATCGGAGATATTTCCTGAAGGACTCTCTCATTGGGACATGAAGATAAGCATCCGATAAATCGAGAAGAACTGCCCATTCTCCCTGCTGAAAAGCTGTCATTAGTTGATGGATTGTCTCCATCTTGAATTTTGGAACTATCAACTTCTGGTTGAGAGCCCTCAAATTTATTACTGGTCTGTCTTCTCCGGACTTCTTTTCTACTAGAAACAGGTTGCTGTAGAATCCCGGTGAATGAGTGTTGAGTACTTTCTCTACTGCATTCTTCTGAAGGAGGTCCCTCACTACCTTCTTGAATCGAGCTGACTTGCTCGGAGTTGAAGATTCGAACTGACTTGGTTCGATTGTCAAAGGAACTGATGACATCAGTTGTGGGATATATATCCTACTTGGATTATCCTTAAAATAATTGGATCCTGTGTAATTTCCAACCAATTGTGGAAATAGTTTCCGAGGCGTCCCCCCACTGGACCGATTAACACTTGAATCAGAAACGGAGGAACTGACAGAAGTAAGTCACTTCCTGTAGGGCCTTCCTCGGGCTGGTCTGGAGTCCGAGTTGTTCTTCTTCGATCGTTAAACTTCTTGTTTGACTTGAAGTCTCGAAAGGATTGGTCAGACTGTTGTTTATTAGGCCAGCCCTTGTTATCAGCCTTATCCTTGTTTGCTGATGCAATTCTGGATTGGCGTTGTCGAACTTCTTTATTCCTAGAGGCTTTGGAGCTTGACTGTGCTAAAGAAACTAGTGCTTGATTAGCCATGTTTGAAGTTGCTGCATCAACTAATTCTTTAACCTGTGTCTCAGGGTAAAGAACTGTATCTCTAGGATCAATGGGTAGTATCCTCATAGGTTCACGATAACGTGAAGGGACGTGAGACTGGATAATATCTCTTTTCAAAAGTGTAGAATTAGCCAAAGTCTTGAGTAAAGTTTCTGTAGCAGCAGAAGTTGCATCGGAGGATCGAGTTAACATTTCCCTAATGGATTTAAGTAACAGATCTAATTCAGGGTCTTGATTAGTAGAGCATTTTTCAGTAAGCTGAGTGATGAGTTTACCACTAAATACCATTCACCATGAATAAGAGGTTGTAAACACATTCTCATATTTTCCTCTAACTGACTTCAGGCTTTGTTAGATAACTTGGTATCAGGTTTACCATTGTCAAAGAACTCATTAAAAGTCTTGTCATTTGGTACTAGGTTTGCAAAAGTAGAATTGACAGTATGAGGTTTCAGAATGGACTCATCTGAAATTTTAAACCTTGAAGTGTTTTTTACCCTGTAAAAACTTGTTTTCTTAGCAAAGGTAGACTGAGGTTCAAGTAGTTTGGAATTAATATCCTCAACTAGTTGGTGAAAAATTGGAGGACAAGGTAAACTATTGACTTCTTTCTTATCTTGTTTATGTTGAAGAGCAACCATAGATAAAGTTTCTCTTTTTGAATCCTTACTAACCTCACCTTCTAAAGCAGAAATTGTAGAATCCAACAATTGTCTAACTAAACTAACTGTCTCAGATTGGGAAGATCGTTTATCATCCTGTTTATCATCATCAGAATCTTTAGAATTGTTCAACTTATCCAAAGAAAGAACACTTTCATTTGCTGTATTAACAGTGCGCATGCGTGAAGAATTCATACTTCCGGTTGACGACTTAACTGTAGAATGCTGAACCGATTGACCAGAAAGATGAGGAATAGAGTGACCTGAACGATGAGGAATAGAATGACCAGAACGATGAGAAATAGAGTGATACTCACTTTGAACTGGAGATCTAGAACGGCCGTATGGACTCCGGGACCTACCAGAACTGGACCGGAAGTGCAGACTCTGAGATTTATAGGGTGGACTCCGAGAACTACCAAAATGGTAGTCGGAAGATCTCGACCTAAAATAACGGTCATCCTGCCTACTACGTTGTGGTGACGGCCTACGTTGTGGTGACCGGCTACGTTTACGAGTATATGAAGGGGAATGACTGGCAGAAGCACCCCTTGAGACACCACTAGCCACATGGAATGTCGTCAATGGTGGACCATTTTTTCCCGTTTGTGAATTTCGAAATGACTCTTCAAGACGTTTATTCACTTCCTCTTGAATAATATTACGAATATTATCTGTGCTAGTAACGGTAGACTGTAAATTGACATCGTTGACCACAAAATTTGACAGTCCTGAACCTAACCTTGCAACCGCGGCCACGTCTGAGGCCAGGTTTTCTCCAGTAAAATTACTAATTTCACCTTCTTCATAGCCTTCCATTGCTAGAATATATATAATTCTTCAATCTTATCAGCTACTAAGCGATAAAACAACGCCAGTTTCTAATAGAATTGAAAAATAAGAGACTTGAAAAAGAAAATCCTCTGTTCCATTCGAAGGCAAGATTTTTTATGAATATTCAATGAGATAGTGGGCGACACCTATTGGGTCACTACCAGGGACTGATCATTTTGTATTTATTTATTTTTGGGGACTTGCCTCTTGTTCCAAAAGGGGGGATTAAGCATATGTCATGGAATAGGTTGGATTGTATGTAATGGCCGCCTTCTACCAAAAGTGTCATTAGACCATTTGCCATACTTATAGTATTCACATACCAAATATGAACAAAATCGCTCCACCACTTTTCGAGTTATAGTAAAATACGTTAAAATGGCGGCCATTTTGAAAAATGGCCACCTTCTACCAAAAGTGTCATTAGACAGTGTGCCATGCTTACAGTATTCACATACAAAATATGAACAAAATCGCTTCACTACTTTTCGAATTATTATAAAATACATTAAAATGGCGGCCATTTTTTAAAAATTTTTCAAAATGGCCACCTTCTACTAAAGGTGTCATAGGATAGTGTGTCAGGCTTTTAGTATTCACATATCAAATATGAACAAAATCGCTACACTAATTTTCGAGTTATAGTAAAATACATTAAAATGGCGGCCATTTTGAAAAATGACCGCCTTCTACCAAAAGTGTCATTAGACAGTGTGCCATACTTATAGTATTCACATACCAAATATGAACAAAATCGCTTCACTACTTTTCGAGTTATAGTAAAATAGGTTAAAATGGCGGCCATTTTTTAAAATGGCCACCTTCTACCAAAAGTGTCTTTAGACAGTGTGCAATGTTTATAGTATTCACATACCAAATATGAACAAAATCGCTCCACTACTTTTCGAGTTACAGGAAAAATCGTAAAAACTGTAAATTCGGCACTAAAATGGCCGCCATTTTGAAATGAGCGGCCATTTTGAAAATCGGCTTTCAAGCAGAACTTGTACCCCCATAGGGTATATGTGTACAAAATATGAACAAAATCGGGCCAACGGTATTTGAGTTATTGCCCGGACGGATGGACGGATAGACGGACGGACAGATGGACGGACGGACGGACAGAGGCATTGCCCTATATCCCTCCGAACTTCGTTCGATGGGATAATTAACCCTTAACTGAGCCATAATCGACCCTGAACTTAGAATGTAATGTATCCTTCTCTAGAACCTGTTTGAAATTCTAACTTACCAGGAAGACATTTTGTTGTGATGTCACAGAGATGGTATATATCTCAGAGGGCAGGTTGAATATGTTATTATCTTGGCCGACCACCAGGTGGCACCAGGGTGTGGGGCATATGGGCACTGTCTCTGTTACTTCAACTAACAAAGGAGATCCTGGAATGATGAAGAAGGGATAAAATTTATAAAAACTTATCCTCATATTGACAGGATATTTCTGAAAGTTTGGGCCAGTTTTGAAAAGGCCCCATCATTGAATAGGCCTATTACTGCTGTCCCTAGGTCTGATTTCGTTACTCGGCTCGGAAAAAAGGTTTGTGGGTATCATTTTGTTCCAGACACTCTCTAGAATAAATTCATCTTGGGTGGAATAAAAATGTGTGGTAAACGAATTTGCTATGGGCAGTTAAAGAGGCGCCATCTATTCATTTTCAAACAGGGGGTAGGGGTATAAAATAATTTTTTAACACATTTTAATAGTAAAATGACATTGAAATACTAATAAATCTTATCAAAAACATTATTTACAATCAGTATGAATTTTCTTGTGTGGATTAGGGTGAAAATAAGGGCATATCTTGAAATTCACTACAGGGGCGCCACCTATTTTTGTACTTCTACCACGTGTAATAACTTATTTTAGATTCGTTAAGGTACGAAATGTACTGAAAAAATTCATTCTGAAGGACCTATATATGTTCATACCACATACTTAAAATTAGATCAATAGCTTATGTACCGGCGGAGAAAAAAATTATTGAAATTTAAAATTGTGGTATCATGCAGGATAGGGGTGACCATATCTCACATTATTAACTTCCAAAATATGGAGCATATGTATCTCAAATGTGCTCAAAATGTTGTATGTACTCTTGCTTTGTCATAATATTACTAATAAGAAGTAGAAAAATGATTGTACATTTTAGAAATTATTAATTCTCATTTTGGCTTCTGACGTCCCAGGGGTGACCATATCTCACCTTTATAACTTCCAAAATATGGAGCATATGTATCTTAAATGTGGTCAAAATGGTGTATGTACTCTTGCTTTGTCATAATATTGGTAATAAGAAGTAAGAAAATGAATGTACATTTAAAAAAATATTAATTCTCATTTTGGCTTCTGACGTCCCAGGGGTGACCATATGTCACCTTAATAACTTCCAAAATATTGAGCATATGTATCTCAAATGTGCTCAAAATGGTGTATGTACTCTTGCTTTGTCATAATATTAGTAATAAGAAGTAGAAAAATGATTGTACATTTTAGAAATTATTAATTCTCATTTTGGCTTCTGACGTCCCAGGGGTGACCATATCTCACCTTAATAACTTCCAAAATATGGAGCATATGTATCTCAAATGTACTCAAAATGGTGTATGTACTCTTGGTTTGTCATAATAATTTACTAATAAGATGTAGGAATATGATTATACATTTAAAATTTTTTAATTTTAGCTTCTTACGTTCCTGGGTAATCATATCGCAACATATAATAATAATAACTAGACATGTAAATTGAACAAGTTCAATTTAAGACTCCAGATTTCAGACTTTTTTTAAGCTGAGTCATCCAAATACTTGTAAGCTGAGTCATTCAGAATAAGCTGAGTCAGCTAGAATATAGACATTTAGACAACTCTTAAGAATGTTATCTTCGACTCCTTTGGCTTAACATGGGGATATCATCATATCGACCTTTCGAGACTTCAAACGGCTATAACTATCTAATCAGAAGTTGGATCAAAATTTGGTTTAAAGATTCTGAATCGCAAAAATAAGGAAAAACTATGAATTTGACCTAGATTTTGACCTAGGCATTTTGCTGTCCAAATTTTAAAGCTAGATAGCCTTCGAGGTCCCATTCTTTTATAGGCTTTCAGAATGTTAAGCTGTACTCAGTTTATATCTGGTATTTTACACTTCAAAAAAATCTTTTTTCTCATTGACATAACATGGGGCACCAAATTTAGCGATTTTTGAGCTTTCAAAACGCCATAACTTCCGAACCGGAAGTCTGATTCAAATTCGGTTTGCAGATTCGGATTCCTGAGATCATTCTTCACTTATTTCATAACTCACATGTTGAATTTGGAGATCTTTTTGTTCTGACCTATTTCCGGACGCCATATCTCAAAATTGGTAAGAGTAATCAAAATTCTGATGTCATAACTTTGATTCGCCTTTTTCTAAGCTACATGATGAAAAAAAGATGAAGGAGTTACGATGAATATTGACAAAGATATGATGAAGAATGTTGAAAATGTAAGATTTGACCTAGTTCTTGACCTTTGACCTAGATAAAAATTTGACCTAATTTCCCAGAAAGCCAGATACATTCCCTAGTTAACCATGTAAGTTGGTTTAAGTAAGATGTTATAGTTGGAGAGAAAATCTGTTAGGAGGAAGAAGAAAGAATAAAGAATAATAACTAGATTGGTAAATTGAACAAAGTTCAATTTAAGACTCCAGATTGATTTACTTGAGTAAAGAGCTGAGTAGGAAGCTGAGTACGTAGATGATTAAGTAATGGAGTAAGTAGCTGAGTAGGTAGCTGAGTAAGTAGCTGAGTAGGTAGCTGAGTAAGTAGCTGAGTAGGTAGCTGAGAAGTAGGTAGCTAAGTAGGTAGCAGAGTAGGTATGTAGGTAGGTATGTAAGTAGGAATTGTTGAAAGTATATTTGATGGATCTGCATTGTGGATACTGGCAAATGTGAATTTTAAACAAATGTGAATTTAAAAATGGCATAGAATCTAAACTGGGAGTCGGATTGAAAGTTGATTTGCAGATTTGGATACCTTAGAAAGTTCTACCCTTAATTCATAACTCATAAGTTAAATTTGGAGAACTTTTTATTTTGACCTACTTTTCGGACACCATATCTCAAAAGTGGGTCAAAATACTTTCTGACGGCAAAAGGCTAACACTATTAGCACACTCTTTGTTACCTGTATACAAAATTTTGAAGCAAATTATTAAAGTGTAATGTCAGAATCGCAAAATTAAGGAAAAGCTATGAATTTGACCTAGATTTTGACCTTGGGATTTTGGTGTCCAAATTTTGAAGCTAGGTAGCTGTTTGAGGTCCCCTTCTTTTATAGACTTTCATTATGTTGAGCTGTACTCAGTCTATACCTGGTATTTTACACTTCAAAAAGATATTTTTCCCTATTGATATAACATGGGGCACCAAATTTAGCAATTTTTGAGCTTTCAAAATGCCATAACTTCCGACCTGAAAGTCGAATCAAAATTTGATTTGCAGATTCGGATTCCTGAGAAAATTCTACTCTTACTTCATAGCTCATATGTTAAATTTGGAGAACTTTTTATTTTGACCTACTTTTCGGACACCATATCTCAAAAGTGGGTCAAAATACTTCCTGACGGCAATTATTAGCACACTCTTTGCTACCTGTATACAAAATTTAGAAGCAAATCATTTAAGTGTAGTGTCAGAATCGTAAAAATTAGGAAAAACTATCAATTTGACCTAGATTTTGACCTTGGGATTTTGGTGTCGAAATTTTGAAGCTAGGTAGCTTTTGGGTACCCTTCATTTATAGGAATTCATTATGTTAAGCTGCACTCTGTCTATATCTCATATTTTACAATTAAAAAAGTCTTTTTTCCCATTGACTTAACATGGGGCACCAAATTTAGCAATATTTGAGCTTTCAAATCGCCATAACTTCCAAACAGGAAGTCGGATCGAAATTTGGTTTGCAGATTCAGATTCCTGAGAAAATTCTACCCTTATTTCATAGCTCATATGCTAAATTTGGAGAACTTTTTTAGTTTGACCTACTTTCCGGATGCCATATCTCAAAATCGCTAAGAGTAATTAAAAAACGGATGGCACACTCTCTATTTGTTTTTTTCTAAGCTACATGTTGAAAAAAAGATAAAGGAGTTACCACAAGTAACAACGAAGATAATTGACAGAATGTTGATTTGACCTAAATTTGACCTAGTTCTTGACCTTTGACCTAGATAAAAATTTGACCTAATTTCCCAGAAACTAGGTTGATGGGCTATGTTAGCCATGTAAGTAGGTTAAAGTAAGTTCTTCTAGTTGCTGAGAAAAAGTGTTCGGAAAGAAAGAAAGAAAGAATGAATAATAACTAGATTGGTAAATTGAACAAAGTTCAATTTAAGACTCCAGATTGATTTACTTGTGTAAAGAGCTGAGTAAGTACCTGAGTAGGAAGCTGAGTAAGTAGATGATTAAGTAAATGAGTAAGTAGCTTAGTAGGCAGCTGAGTAAGTAGCTGAGTAAGCAACTGAGTAGATAGCTGAGTAAGTAGCTAAGTATGTAGCTAAGTAGGTAGCCGAGTAGGTAGGTAGGTAAGTAGGAATATTTGACCGGTAGTCGGATTGAAATTTGATTTGCAGATTCGGATTCCTGAGAAAATTCTACCCTTAATTCATAACTCATACGTTAAATTTGGAGAACCTTTCATGTTGACCTACATTTCGGGCACTATATCTCAAAAGTGGGTCAAAATACTTTCTGACGGCAAAAGGCTAACACTATTAGCACACTCTTTGCTACCTGTATACAAAATTTTGAAGCAAATAATTAAAGTGTAGTGTCAGAATCGCAAAAATAAGTAAAAACTATAAATTTGACCTAGATTTTGACCTAGGCATTTTGGTGTCCAAATTTTGAAGCAAGATAGCTTTTGAGGTCCCTTTCTTTTATAGGCTTTCATTATGTAAAGCTGTACTCAAGTCTATATCTCGTATTTTACACTTCAAAAAAATCCTTTTTCCCATTGCCATAACATGGGGCACCAAATTTAGCGATTTTTGAGCTTTCAAAACGCCATAACTTCTGAACGGGAAGTCAGATCGAAATTTGTTTTGCAGATTCGGATTCCTGAGAAAATTTTACCTCTAATTCATAACACATACGTTAAATTTAGCGAATTTTTATTTTGACCTACTTTTTGGACACAGCATAACTTCGTAACCGGAAGTCGGATCGAATTTTGGTTTGCAGATTCGGATTCCTCGGAAAATTCTACCCTTAATTCATAGCTCATATGTTAAATTTGGAGAACTTTTTATTTTGACCTACATTTCGGACACCATATCTCAAAAGTGGGTCAAAATACTTTCTGACGGCAAAAAGCTAACACTATTAGCACACT